TAGTAGTAGTAGTAACAGGTAAGCATAAGCTTTCAAGGCTCTCCGATGACTTCATTAGAAAGTATCCTCTGGATGTGATATTCACTATAACACTCTTGTACAGATCGACTTCGAGTTCACACAAATCCTCGACCCACCAGTCTTTTGGCACCAAAGGATTGACAACATTGCTATAGTTTAAATCATTTCCATTTTCCTCGAGAAGCTTCTTCCAGTTATAGGTATAAGACCATTCAACCTTGGAAACATCAACACAGGCCTTGTTAGCTATAGCATCAACGCAACAGGGACTTGGTTGTCTGAAGAACAATTATCGAATCTTTCCAACTGCAGAAGATGCTGGAGTTTAAGAAAACATCAATCTTGTATATGAGATTGCCTTTCTCGACAGTCTCGTGCATTCCTAGATACTCCGATGCACAACGAGCAGCGACTACATTATAAGCGTTGAGTGTGACAGTCATGCCATAACAAAATTTAGCACATATCTCGAAGGCAGCTAGCCCACCAGGGATCTCAAAAATATTAATCTCAACACTCTTTTCTTCATTAGTGGCTGAAACCAACTTCTGCATGTAGGCACATTTTGAAAGAAGAGGAAACTGCATGGTTTATATACCATTTGTTAGTCATAAAAGTAGATATGAAATTTTTTCCGTCCTTGTATGATCTATTACGGGTTACATTGATCTTCAAAGAATCTTAATGATTACAAGTGAAGTACCATCCATCTAAATTAACTTAAAACCCACTTAGCTTAGACATCCAAGCTTTCATTTGTAAGTATTTAAGAACTTGTTTTGCATAACATCAAGTGTGAGTAGCTCACATCATAACAATGGATGAAGAACATTAATTTGAACTGTTTTAACATGGAAGTGTCAATTTTTCCTCGGTAAAACATCATAAAGTCGAACAAGTTGAAACCATGAAATTCAACAACATTATCATCAATTGTACCATCAAAAATATTTACATGCATGATGAAAAAAGGTTATCCGGAAGGGCTAAAAAAATATGTTTCTGATGTGCCGAAAACATTTACATGCTTACACATCAAACATATAGCATACCTTGTGCAGATAAAACTTCACATCTCCACTAGTGATAATGATGTCTGTTTCCAGTTCACTTGCCACATACCTAGAAAGTGTAGGCCTCAAAAGTATTACTACAAAATTTCCTTAATTCACATATAACAAGAAAGAGAAAAGAATAAAATCCAAAAGGTTAACGTTAGAAACACAGGCAATTCAAGCACATGTATAATTATGTCTTTCTTGAAGCCTATTCTCTATTTCATTAAGTGAGAAATTCTTCTCAAAATTCATCCAAAGGATATTCAACTTTATGCCAGTTCTTCATTTCGAGACTTTTTTCTGTAGTCTGCTCACTTAGTCTCACGAAAATGGAAACTTCAGCCAATCTTAGTCAAGACATGTTTTATTGCATTGCATCCACACATTACTTATCTTTATTCATTGTAAACACTAGCAAAATTGACTTCAAAATTCCTCTATTAGCTGGTGAAGGCCTTTTTTTATTGAACCGCAAACTTCAAGTCATATCAAATCCAATCCACACCAAGAGTTTGGATTGTTCACAGGACATGAATGGCTACCCTAGCCAATGAACTTAGAAATATCCCTTTCAAACAAAAAATAATTGTACTAGGTAAACAAAGCCTGCTATCAATTCTATGCAGATCTACTTAACATGTCATAGAAAAGTTACCAACCATGATGTGGTGTTTGTTTCTCATTAATTAATCCTTACTCCTTCTAATGGTTTTTTTTTCGACAACTAATGATATATTTACTGTTTTGTTCTCAAGTGAACGACACAAATTTTTGGCAATTTTTTCTTCAATAAACAACGACTAAAACGAGTACAAGCATATTAGTATGCACATAGGGAACAACTACATATCAAATGGCTTTTTCTATAAGCACATGCATTATCGATGGACCAAGTATATTTTACTTTTTTTTTCATTTAATTTATTGCTTCTCAATTTATTTTAAATAAAATGTTTTGTTTCTGTCTTCAAACTCTAAGCAATTACCACTATGAATCTGCAAAAGTTAGGAAGAATTTAGCATCTTATGTACTATGATTGAAAAATTGCATATAAATATGTACATTATTGTTCTGTGGCTTTGAAGTCCAACTAAGTAAAAGAAAAGAATTAATACCAAGTATCCTTATATAAACACACATGTCATGGATGTCAAATATGTATCAACACATCTACCTCAATTTTGGTGTTCTATTTCATTTAAGCATAAATAGCTTGCATTTTGGGAGGTTAAGATATTATTAACGAGAAAAAAATTACGCAAATAAAAAAAATAAAAATATATGAATATAAGGAGATTGAAATAAATAAATATGCACAATTTGTGAAGTATAATCCTTCTTTTGCTTATTTGTTTGTCATTTATTAGTGGTATTGAAATTTTATTATTAAAAGGAGATAAAAATCAAGTTTCATATTGTTATTCAATCTAATTAATAATTAGTGATCGATTGTACATAATTATTAAAGTTAACTAACCTCATTATGTCTTTGTCATGCAGTTTCATGTTGTTCCCATAGAGTGGCATATTAAACATGATATCTTCATTCCATTCTTAATCATTATGACAAACTTCTAGGCTTGTTCTTATCACTCCTTATTGCCTTCTTCGGCCTCCCTCTTTTTCCAATAAATGTGAGAGAATTTATTTGACCAATTCCACAGTTTGGCCATGTGGATATCCTCCTCCATGACATCATGTGGAACTGATAAGCATTCAAATACAAATCTTGTCTATAGTAGTGCGATAAATAGTCTTCGGGTTCTTTTCACTGCAATATATCTCACATACAACATGCTTACAAGAAATTCTAGATAAGTCCCATGTTCAACAAGTGCAAGTATAATCCACTATACGACAATCTTATCTAGATACAACTTCATATCCTTGGTCACTATTCCATTCAACCTGACATTGACATGTCTTGTCTTTACACTTCTCTAGCCTTGTTATGGCCCTCAGTGCAATGTCATTTATTGATTTCTCAATTGACCGCCTCTTAATATTTAACGTATTCATCATTATCACCTTTATCTCAACTAACATAATAGTTATTAGTTTGCACATTGACTTCAAAATCCATATATTGAACATTTGTAATCTATAATATTATGTTTCATTATAATATTAAAAATGGCCTTAACTCATCTAGTTGGACTTATATTGAATGTGTTGCCTGTCAATCTCTTTGTCATTTGATCAATTAAGGTTAATTGTTGAGTGAATTTCTCCCCACATGTAGATCGAACACATACTTAAAATTACATCTTTAACTCCTTACCCTTCCTCTTCTTTGCCCATTCGAGTAAATATTTTGAAAACAATGTATGTGCTAAATTAGAGGCATTAGCTCCTCAACCACTAGAATAAGACCTTGCAATTTACCATAAAATTTGATGTTAATGTTAATATAATTATATGTAAGAAATGTCGTAGATTTTAATTAAGCATAATTATGTAGGTGCAAGAGTATAGGATTTTATACATATTGCAAGTGGATCTAATTTTTATTTTTATTTTGTTCCTTTATCGGGATCTTGGCTTACCACGCGAGTTTGAATTTCATATTTTTGTATGCAAGATGCTCGCTAATGAGTACCGCATCTTCAAAATTATTACATTTCCATGGTATATAGGCTATTAATACATTTTTTTAAAGCAAGTTCGCCACCAATTATAGCGACACTGTCCATTAAAATTTGTCATCTTTATATGCATTTACCCCATTGAACTTGGGGTGTCTTTAAATATGTTTACATCTAAATCAAATTTTTTAAAAATAAGTTACTACTATTTAAAAGATAAAAATGAACTAAATCTCCTAAAAATAAACTTTTACTAATTACATAATATTTAAAAAATAAACATGGGGTAAATCTAATTAAAAGATAAAATATATTTGAATTCAAACTAATAGATAAAATAAATTATAATTTATACATTAATCTTCAATACTCTCCCTTAATATAAAAATTATAATCACTAAACTTGTCTTGTTGGAGCGCCTTTCTCCAATGTCTTGTTTAATTTTCATATTTTAAAACATTTTTCTTCAATTGTTGATGTACTTATTACAATATCTAATTATTGATGCACTTCTTATCAATCTCTAATTATTTGATGTAATTCTCATTAAAATCTCTTGGAGCATTTCTCTCTAATTTCAAAAAAGAGATTCTTTTTATTGAGCAAAATTTATTTGCTCATTCTTCATCTTGTAATTTTTTTTACATGCAACATCCCACAAACCAAAAGATTATAAATATGTTTGCATTTTCACAACCCATAATTAATAATTTTCTCATGTGAAAATTTTTTGACATCATATTTAATGTATGAAACTCATTTCTTTTCTCTCTATTTTTTCCTCACAAACCCACGATTAAGAAAAGCTCTGATACTATTTGTTGAAATTTTTTCAGAATGAAGAAAACTTAAATTTTTATTAACTTTATTTATTCCAAAATTACTGTTAAAAACTCATTGAATTAACATATAATCAGCAAATCAATTCTGTAACTAATTTTCCAAGATCATTTTGTATAACATTACATACAATCACATTAATATATAACGAACTGTATGTAAATTTTACGGCATAAATATCTCTTGTAGAAACCTAAACTTTTGAAGAAAAAATAACAAAATCTCTTCTTTTTCTTCACAGAAACAGAACTTTTTGAGAGAGAGGGAGAGAGTAGGTTTTTTTC